AAATAAGCTTGGAGAGAATAACTAGCTCAAGTCACACGATTATAATGAACAGCAGCAGTAACTTAATCTATGTGTATGACTCTTTCTGATATACCATACAGGTATAATATCCAAGTCTTCTCTGCCCACCCCCAGTCCATTCCAATAATTCATCTGTTGGAATTCATCTTCTTAACACCTGTGGACTTACTCAGCTTTCAGTCATAAATCCCTGAGGACAGGGGTGATCAGGCGGGAGGCAGAAAAGTAAGTAGGAAGAAAAGCAATGCATTTGGGACCATAAACCCTCCGAAACTTACAGCAAAATTTAGTATGTATATGTGTACTTTTCTAGGGAAAGGGATGAAAATTTTAACAGATTCTCAAAGGGGCATAATTATTCATCAACTGTTGCTACTGGGAACGAGATGAAATATGCAATGAATTAGCTCTGGAATTTATACCTTCAGAAGATTTTTTAAAATATTAGCTTTACCTTCTTTATCCAGTTCTGCATCTTTAACCTCCACATCGGGACCAGGTTCTACCTTCTCATTATTGCTACATTCCAGTGCCTCTAGTTTCTCAGGATCATCTCCATGATTTTCATTTGAAGTTTCTGTTTTTTCTTTTGACTGGTCCTCCAGAAGAGTATTTTGTTCACAACTATATTTATCTCCACTATCACAGAAAGAAACTACTTCAACTTTGCCATTCTGACACTCCAGAACTGATATGCCATCAAAACTGTCAGTGGAAGCCTCACCATTTAGACAGCTTCCTTTAAGGAAAGGCTCTTTCCTAGACGTCTGTTCTGGATTTAGGGAACTGCTGCTGTTGACGAGTAGAGATTCATTTGAACTTTCCTCCTCAGTAGATGCAAAGTTCTCTTTTGCGCCTGCTCCACTGTTAAGCCTCTGCCCCTGGTCCATGTCCATGATGTCACATGATGACTCATCATTGGTCATAGATAAGTCTCCAGTCTCTTCTCCATTTTCCTCATGGCAGTCAGTGCTTACCTCAAACTCTCCATTCTCTAGCAATTTCCTGTCCTCCGTATGGTTCTCATAGTCTGCAAATTTGGTGTCCTCTTCATCTTTTTTAAAATTATTGACTTTCCTTTTCTTAATAATTCCTTTACCCCACTGTGATCGCCGCCTTGATTTTCTCCGGACCCGAACTGTTTTACAAGGAAGGAAAAAAGATATGTAGAACTTGGAATGCAATACCTGTTTTACATATGTTTATTAAATAGGATCCGAAAGAAAGTAAACCCATACTGTTGTAACACACAAACAAAAACTACTTAGTTCTTGACATCCATGCTGACTAATCCGCACAACCTACAAGTAGAATCGATATGAAGTCAGGGATGAACACTGCAGAATAAAAATTTTTTAAAATTTATTTCCTATCTGAGTTTACTCAGCATTAACCTTTTCTACTACCCTATATCCTACTTTATAGTTGTTCCTAATTTCCAACATCCAGGACACAAGCATATAATAATATACATATTTAGGGAATGACACTGCCAGGCTGCCAGAAAGATTGAGGCCACAGCCTGCATTTCTACCAGGAAGGTGGATGCTTTGTCAGCAAAAATTAGTTCCTAAATCATGAAAGGAAATAAAGACATGAGCCAACATAATGTGATAGAATAGTCACAGGTATCCCCACAAAGAAATCTCTGTTGTTTCTCCTTTGAGAAAAAGCAATCATCCACAGTAAGCATGACCATAGACAAAAGCCCTATGAAGGTTATATGGACAATTTGGTTAGCCAAGTGTTAACCTCTTCTAGCACAAATGGTTCAGTCAGTACCATCAATTTCTTACAAAGTTATTTGAGAATATGTAGAAAAACTAAGCCCTCTACTATCAAGACAACAACAACAACATTAACAAAACACTGCAAATAAATATTTGGTCAGTTATGTGAAAAGGGAGACCCACAAAAGTTGTAGGGACTATATACTCTTGGATGCTAGTAACCATCATAAACTTTATGAGTAGACACTAGGGCTTCCAGGTGATAATAGACCCAGCAATTTTTAATTTCCCATATATTTATCAAAGGTAGGTAGTTAGGCAAGTATCCCTCATTTCCCTTAAATAAACAAAAAGTTAACTTTTATTTTGAAATTTGTGACACCTGCATCCTACAGTTAAGTGTTCTTTAGAATGCTTAAATACAAAAGTGAATAAAAATGATCCATTTTTTCCTATAGCTATAAAAGTATTAAGTCTGGCTTAATTTTTTAAAAGGATTACATATGTTTCTGGGCAATATATTGGGCAAAGACATTTTAAAAAGAAAATTAAAAAACAGAATCACTAAGTATAGATTGTTTAATCCATAGTTTCTGCTTCGTAAAGACAGGAAGGAATATGGTCTTATAACAAGCCTTATTTCTTATATGCACACTGTTTACTGTGAACCTACAGTCTATCAATAGTATATAGTGTGTTTATAAACTTCTTCCGTCCTTTTGTCTTCAATCCCTATCGAGTCTCTGCAAAGACACCAATGTATTCACAAGAAATGGACAAATTTAGTTGTAAATATTACTCCTTTCTTACCTAAGAATATATATCTACTAAAGGTTTCTGTAATCCATCTCCAAAATTCAAATTATTTAGTCATTTAGCTCAAAATATATTTTTCCTTCAAAACTGTAATATTGTTAGAACTGTTTCTTCATTCTTCCCACCTATTACTTTCTATTTTTACAACATATGGTTATAGGATAATTTGCATGGAGAAAAAAATTTCTGCATCAGTCTACTGTTAAAAGCTGGTACACAGGCTCAGGTGATGGGCATTTGTAAACATCTCATTAACTTGAAAAGCTAATCTAGTCCATATTAAAGATGAAAGAAAAACATTCAGCTTGCTCTGACTCCAAAAGGTGGAGCTGTTAGATTTTACTACCTGAAAAGCCACTCTTGACATTATAACCTCTCTTAATTCTCCAATCATGTAACAAAACTACAGGACGTTTCCCTTTTCTTTCCTAAGCTATGGAACTCTAGAGCAAAAAGAGTCTGAACTCCATGCAATCAAGAGCCAACTCAATTACTTTACACGTAGTACACTAAACACAGTCTAGAAAGCCCTTCCAAAGCAAGTTTACTCCTAATGTTTTCATACTGCGTACAGTATAACAGAAAATGTTCTTATCCTTTGGGAGGTAAAACTGGAGCTGTTTTTCCCCTCCTTATATAATTATTTCTAACGGTTAGTGTAATTTTGGCAAAATAAGAGAAATTGATCATTATAAGCTCCATGTGAATAGGGGTTTTTGTTTCACTCACTGCTATATATTCACAGTACCTGGAATGTGATAAGAGTACATACTTGTGGACCTAATCCTTAATATAACACTTCCTTCATGAGGGGTTCCTGATGTGAAAAAGCCCATTTACAGGCACAATCTTTAGAGTCAATTTTTATAGCATCGCTGAGCTTGTTTCTAAAACTAGAACCTTAGGAAAGCAACTCTCCCTTAGGGACATTCAAATATATGATGAAAGTTAATGTAAAGCAGAAAAATGATGGGTCACGTATGCCATCTACTGGTAAGAGAAAACAAAATTCAACTACTGTAGATTCAAAGAATATTTTTTAATATTTAAAGGCACTTAAAAGCTTCTTAAAGTGAACATTGAATGTATTTTCATTAGTAAATATTTTTAACAGGTGCAGAGAATGTAAAGGATTCAAGTTTTAAACTAGAGTGCTATGTTACATAATCCAAGTCATAATCTGAGATACAACTAGGCCAAATAGCTTTAATCGGTCTCATGACAACCAAATACACTATTAAGTCCTTTCTCAAACTTTCTCATATATGAATGCCACTTATTGAAAGGGGACACGCTAGGAAAAAAAATTCAAATTCAATGCCATTGGTGAAAGAACATATTAAGGCCAGCTTTACTGACAAGGTAATATAGGTTGAGTATTCAAAATCCAAAACTTTTTGAGTACTGACAAAGGAGTACACTCAAAGGAAATGCTCACTGGAGCATTTTGGAGTTTGGATTTGTGATACTCAACTAGTGTGTCTATTGCAAATATTCCAAAATCTGAAATACTTTTGGGTCCCAAGCATTTTGGATAAGGGATACTAAACCTGTATTATCACCTTTATACCAGAAGAATAGCATCTATCTTCCAAGGAAGGCTATCTTCAGTGAAACAGAAGGACCATATTAGGAAGATGTTGTGTTTATTAACATTTGTCTTTTAGAAATTTTATAGATCAACAAGAATGAGTGAAATGAAGAAAATCTAAAACATGAATTTTCCCTTTAAATACATCTTACAAAACTAAACAAAGAAAGAAGGCTGTGCAAACTTTTCAAACTGAGCTGAAAATATTCTCAGAAAAATCAACTTCCAACTACCATATCATCCACTCCCATATGCTGGAGTCTGCATTTCCCACTATAAAGAGAACATCCTGCATAGCATACAAGGGGTGGCAGGTGAGGACAGGGGCAAATAAAAATCCTATTGGCTCCATATCTCTATCCAAAAACCAAAGTTTAAAACCAAAAACATTCACACCTAGTTCAATTACAATAGCAAGTATTGAATACGGATACAAAACAGCAAATAAAGTTAAAGAAATATATTTCTGATTCAGCATCTTACCTCTGAAAAGAGATGAAAAGAGCTGTGGGAAAACGGTAGCATTTCAGTTTGTACCCAAATCCTAACATATCTACATCATTTTCAGTTGTTCCCACTACTGGATAACATGATCTCAAATACTCACATGCACATTTATTTGCAGAGTTGTGCCAGACATCCACTGGATTTCTTTGTTTGTGCCGAAATGCCTCTTCAACTCTAGATTCTGTCTTCCGAGCTCCAGCACCATGAGGATTTATTTGTTCTGCTGTTACCGATAAGCCTGCAAGCAGAAGATAAGCAATACCTATTTAAATATTCCCAGCTACATAAACCAATAAGGTTAAAAAAAAAGTCTGAAATACAAAACTGAGTTTTAAAGTCATTAATTATACTTGGGCAGTGTGTAATTCTGATGGAAATAGTGTCTTTTGTTTTAAGATGGGAAAGAAACTAGATATAAAATCATAAAAATAAAACATCCTGGCAGTCCATGCTTACACTTAATCCCCAAACAGGCCCTATTTTTACTCATTTTAATTCACAAAGGGACACATTTCACATTATTATGACTGTGAGACAGTAAGATTATATATTGCCTAAAAGTCATAATCTCTGCCATCTTAGAATGTACAGTGTTTACCGGGCCTATTCCCATGAACTGTTTCAAAATATTTGCTGCCTGTCACACCACACTGCAGTATATTTAGTTTTCTTATATTATCTCCTAAGAGTAATCATTCCATCAATTTACATAACATAAAAATCACCTGTTTTAAATGTACAATAAATAATTTTTAATAAATGTACAAAGCTATGCAATCACCACAGCAATGTAATTTTAGATAACTGTCCTAGGCAACCACTGCTCCACTTTTTGTCTCTATAGACTTGCTTTTTCTGGGCATTTTACATAAAAGAATTGTATATGTGGTTTTCCGTGACTGGCTTCTTTCACTTAGCATAATGTTTATGAAGTTCATCCATGTCGTACTGTGTATCAGTACTTTGTTCCTTTTTGTTGCTAAGTAGTGTACCACTGTATGGATATCCTATGTTTTCCTTACCCATTCACCAGTTGATGGACATTTGAGTTGTTTCCAGTTTGTGGTTATTATGAATAATGCTCTAATGAATATTCATGCGTAAGTCTTTCTGTGGACATATATTTTCATTTCTCTTGGGTAGATTCCTAAGAGTAGAATCACTGAGTTGTGTAGTAAGTCTATGTTTAACTTTTTAGAAACTGCCAAACTGTTTTCCAAATTGGCTCCAACAACTTTTTAAACTGATCTCTCATCTTCCTACCCTGCACATTGAGACCATGCTATTTCTTGCTGCCAAAGCAATTTGACCAATTCATCTCACTACTTAAAATCCTTCAATGATTCCAATTGCCTATGGCAATGGTGTACATACTTTAGCATACATAAAAATCACTTGAATAGTTTGTTAAAATGCAGATTTCTTGTCCTCAATATTCTTAGAGAATCCAATTCACTAGGTCTAAGCTGACGTGGGTAATAGGCACACGCAGTTCGAAAAACATTGGCCTACAGGATAAAGTCCAAGCTTCTTAGCATGACATTGATTCAAGTATTTATTGAAAACCTGTTGTATACCAGACACATTCTTAGGACTGAAGTAGAGCTATAATATAAACAAGACATTCAAAGTGCTTATATCCTTAAGTAAGGAGGATAGAGACGACAAAGAAACAACATAATGCCAAGTGCTACAAGAGCCTATATTAGATTAGGTGGTCAGAGAAGGGCTCTTTAAGGAGGGCTCACCTCTTGAGCCCTGTTTCCCACCATTCTATGTATCTTTAGCAATACCAAACAGTTTAAAGTTCTTCTAAGACACAAAGCTATTTCACACCTCTGTGCCATAATACATGCTACTGTTTGCTCTGTTGGCAATACTTCCTCTTAGTCTGTCACTGACTCGCTTCTCCTAGTGCACTAGCGAAGGCTCCTATATTCATTCCTGAAACTCTGATCAAAACGCTGGGTTCCCTACCAGGAGGTCTCTCTTTTCTGTCCTCTGAACGTGCTTCAACCAGTGCATATATCACACCGTACCTAATTTGTTTTACAGTTCTCTCTTTCCCACTAACATGTAAGTTTCTCAAGGACAGGATTATAAATTGAATCAACAAACCACATTTGCTAATTCTGTGTTTCTAATAACAAAATTGCATATAAACTTTCATAAGGAAGGGAAAAAAACAGTATCACTAAGTACTTTTTAAAAGTACCAGTATTGGATGTAAACTGATGAAAATTAAAACATTTTCAGATACGAAAAGATGTTAGATATCTAATATCTAAATCCCTAAGAATAGAAATCTATGATTAAAAAAGATATACTCCTATAAAAGAAATTTCATTAAGAAATACTTTATTTCTGTAATATATACTACCACACTAAAACTTTCACAGAAGGTAAAGTTTTAAAATATCTTTGAGAATTTACATGACACATATTAGTATTAGAAATGAACTAAAGGTTATACCTCCAAATATATTAATATTATTTTCATAATACCAGCAACCCTAAAGAAACATCATTTAAAGACTGTCTGAAGAGAGCACACCAGGCTTCAGTAGCAAGTTCATTGCTACAAGTTACCTCTTTTTATTCTTGCTTCCTTAATTTCTTCACAGAGTTTATTAAATTCCGGATCCAATTCAGCTGCAATAATAGCATGTGCAGTGTCCTTCAGGGTACAAGCCCTGTGCCGAATGATTTTATCTGTTAAAAAAGTTGGTATAAATTTATTATAGATACAAAAGAAATAATATTAACAAAGGACACCTTAAAAAGAGAAGTAAAACAATAGAAACAAATAAAATTGTAAAAAGCACTTCTAGGTGAGAAAATGTTCATATAAAGGATGAGTAAAATATAAATACAATAAGCTACTCAAGTTAGTATTTCTTTGAAAATTGTACTTTAAGAACCTCAAAGTAATAAGCCTATTAAATCATTACCTCGAAGATATACGGTTTTATTCTAAATTTTTAAAAACAGAAACCTGATTTTCAATAAAAAACTAAAAAGGTTTCACCATATGCCCAGCCCCAGAATTTTCATAGATGAATACTGAGAATTCAGAAAATCTTAAATTTCTCCGTAAGTTAATACTGGTCAAAACTATGCTAAAGAATACAAAAAATATATATATATATATATCTCCTAAGTAAGGGACCTATTTAAAAATGTGACAAAAACAGAGAAATACAGAAAGACTTTCTAAGATAAAGAGCAAGATGACGTATAAATTGTAGGTAGGGCAGAAGAGAAGTGCAAACACAGCTGTAGGTAAACTATACCTAAAACTGGTACCAAAAGAAAAGCTTCTGCTTCACACTGATTCAGAAGTCCCCATTCATAATGTAATATAATGTAAAAGTGCCCCCTAGAGCTGTGCGACTCAGAGATATTACAAGGCAAGTAAATATTAATATATCAAGGTATCTTGGTTTGTACAGTATAAAGAACAAGAATCCAAAGTCACAAAATAACATCTGCTTTTTCCTCTCTAGTAAAGGCCCAAAGTATAGACAAAGATACAGAGGGCTTTTATTTATAACTTTGTGGAAATCTTACAAAACCAACATGTACCATTCAAAGGCAACCAGTGATATATTTACTTCTAATATATTTTCCCTAAAAATTCATTCAACGAATATTGATTGTCAACTATACCAGGAAAAGCCAGATGGTGGCTACACAGCAGTAAACAAAATAGGCATAGTCCCAACTTTCAGGGAGTTTTTCAGGCTATTATAGGAAAGTGCTATTAAACAAATAATCTCTCATACATACGTATTTAAAAAACAACAAAACAGAACAAAATATAAAACCCTGAACAACAGCTATAAAGAAAACCTACAGGGTATTGATGTGGATGCCAATTTAGATTGGGCAAGTCAGGAAAAGCCTCTCTGAAGAAGAGGCATTTAAGCTGACAACTAAAGCATGCACTGGAGTAAGAAGCCACTGAAAGAACAGGGGAAAAACCAGGGCAGGTCCAGAAAATATCATGTGAGAATATCCTGGAGTAAACAGAACTTGGTGATTTCAAGAAACTGAAATGTAAACTGCGTGGTCAGAACGTAACAGGCCAGAGGCAAAGAGGAACCAGATCTCAGGATTTTAGATTTTATCCTAAGAGCAATGAAAGTCGTTGAAAAGATATGAGCAGAGAAGTAACATGATTCAAATTTATATCTTCACATAATCACAAAACTCTTTATTTATTTATTTATTTTTGAGATAGGGTTTCACCCTGTTGTCCAGGTTGGAGTGCAGTGGCATGATCACAGCTCACTGCAACCTCAAACTCCTAAGATCGAGCAATCCTCCTGCACAGCCAGGACTACAGACCCCAGTCCCCCCTTCAAAACCAAATTCTTGGATGCTCATGTCCTTTATATAAAAGAAGCCGTACCATTGGCCTTCCCTCTGCATCCATGAGTTCACATCCATGGATACAGAGGGCCAACTACATATGTTTATAAGAACCTGCCAGACTGTTTTCCAAAGTAGGTTGTACCATTTTATATTCCTACCAGCAGTGCATCATAGTTCCAGTTCCTCCCAACTTTGCAAACATTTGATATGGTCAGTCTTTTTAATTTTAGACAATTCTTACAGCTGTTTAGTGGTATCTCGTTGTGGTTTTAATTTGCATTTCATTAAAGATTAATGAGACTGAGTATCTTTTCTTGTGCTTATTTGCCTTCCATATAACATCTTTCGTGAAATGTCTTCAACTCTTATACCCATCTATTAAATTGGGCTGTTTTCTTACTAAATTCTGAAACTTAATATTCAGGATATAAGTTTTAGCTCTTATATTTAGGTATACGATCCATTTTGAGCCAACTTTTATATATAAATCAAAGGTCTTTTTTTTGTATACCGATATCTAATTGTTCCGGCATCGCTGAAAAGACTGCTTTCTCCAGTGAACTCACTTTATACCTTCATCAAAAATCACTTGACCCTCTATGTGTGCATCCACTTCGGGACTCTATTCTTTTTTTTTTTTTTTTTTTGAGAGAGGATCTCACTCTGTCATCTAGGTTGGAGTGCAGTGGCCTCATCATAGCTTGCCATAACCTCAAAGTGCTGGGCTCAAGTTATCCTCCTGCCTCAGCTTCCCAGGTAGCTAGGACTGCAGACATGAGCTACCACGTCTGGCTAATTTTTATATTTTTTGTAGAGATGCGGTCTCTCTTACTCAAGCTGGTCTCGAACTCCTGGCCTCAAGCAATCCTCCCACCTCAACCTCCCAAAGGGCCAGGATTACAGGCGCGAGCCGCCACGCCCAACCTCAGGACTCTATTCTATTCCACTGACCTGTCAATCTTTATGCCAATATTACACTGTCTAGATTACTGTAACTTTTTAAGTCTTAAAATAAGGTGGTATTACTTCCTCCCAAAGTTTTCATTTTATTATTTGTCAAAGATGTTTAGACTATTCTAGGTTCTTTGCATTTTCACATGAATTTTAGAATCAACTTGTCAATTTCTATCAGATGGCTACTGAGATTTTGATTATATGGTATTGAATCTATGGTTCAATTTGGAGAAAAATGACATCTTCACAATGTTGAGTCTTCCAATCCATAAACACAATATATCTTCATTTTTTAGGTCTTTAATTTTTCTTACCAATGTTTTACAGTTTTCAATGTATAAGTCTCATATATCTTTTCTCAAATTTGTCTGTATTTTATGTTTTTTGATGCTATTGTAAATAGTATTTTTATCTCAATTTCCTACCATTTGTTGCTAGTATATAGAAATACAATTGAGTTTTGTATGTTAATATTGTCTCCTGCAACCATGCTAAATCACTTACATGTTCTAATAGTGTCTTTGTGGATTCCACAGTATTTCTATGTAGGCAACATGATGTCACTAAGACCTCTATATTCAATCTCTGCAGCCACAGCAATTAAATATTTTTTTTATTATTTTTTTGAGACAGAGTCTCACTCTGTTGCCTGGGCTAGAGTGCCATGGCATCAGCCTAGCTCACAGCAACCTCAAACTCCTAGGCTCAAGCAATCCTCCTGCCTCAGCCTCCTGAGTAGCTGGGACAACAGGTGCATGCCACCACGTCTAGCTAACTTTTTTTTTCTATTTTTAGTTGCCTAGCTAATTTTTTTCTATTTTTAGTAGAGATAGGGTCTCCCTCTTGCTCAGGCTGGTCTCGAACTCCTGACGTCAAGCAATCCTCCCACCTCAGCCTCCCAGAGTGCTGGGATTACAGGTGTGAGCCACTGTGCCCCACCACATTGCAACTAAATCTTAACTGGTCTCCCAACCTCCATCCCACCACTCCCTTGACTGCTACCTAAAAAATTCATACTAAAAGGTCAGGGCTGTCTATATCTTAATCATCTGTATTCTCTAGCCTTGAACAGGATGATTTATACGCAGAGAATATTTAATAAATGGATGCTCAGTAAATGGTGAGTCAGTGAGTAGGAAAGCAAATTACTTTCTCCCCACCTCTCAACAGAGACACTCTGTTCTCCAGACATGCTTTTTTCATACCTGTGTACCCTACTTCCTTCAATCTGAAATGAATGCCCTTCCCAATCTTGCTCATCTCCAGATACTGTCTTCTCCTCTGTGCTCCGCTGACCCTGTGTACATATTTCTAATACAGATCTAAAGATATTGCATTATAATTATCTGCTGCCACATCAAGACATTATTCATTATTGCCACCTCTATATCCCTTTATCATAATCATCTTTTTGTTATTATAATCACCAATTAGATAAGTATACTTGTCATCTCTTAAAAAAAAAATCAATGAATTTCTAGACAGTAGGGATTGTGTTTTATATGTAACTGTTATAGGCTGAATTGTGTCCCCTCGAAATTCACATGTCAAAGCCCTAAGCCCCAGTACCTCGGAATGGGACTATATTTGGAGATGGGGCCTTTAAAAGATAATTAAGATAAAATGGGGTCATACAGGTGGACTCTAATCCAATCTGACTGATGTCCTTATAAGAAGAAAAAATTTGGACACATCAAGAGAAACTAGGGGCATACAAGCATAGAGAAAAGGACATAGGGAGAAAAAGCCATCTACAAACCAAGACAGAGGGTTTTACGAGAAACCAAACCTGATGACACCTTCATCTTGAACTGATAGCCTCCAGAATAAATTTCTGTTGTTTAAAGCCACCCAGTTTGTCATACTTTGTTATAGCAGCCCTAGTAATCTAATACAATTACATACAGAATAATGCCTGCCACATAGTAGTTATCCAGTATACATTACTGATCTATCATTATACTGACATGTATCTCTGTCTCAGGATTCAAGGACTATCATAATTATTTTTGTAGTCTAGGTACCCAGCTCAGTAATTAGCACATGGTACTAATAAACACTAATAGAAATATGAATGAGTTTGGTTGAAGCACAGAACTTTTGAAATAAAACCAAGCAAATAAAGTTAGAAGTGTATTAAGAGCAAAACACAGAGGGCTCCAAAAGCTAGGATCAATCTGGGGGCTTTATTCCTACACAATCGGTACAAAATAGAAGATTTTAAGAAGACTAGAAGATTTGGGTTGAAATTTCAGCAAAATTAGTCACATGATGGTATGTATATAAACAGGCCTGAGAGATATGGGAGGGATACATGGCAAGATAAAAAATGAGGGACTGTCAAATATAACATATATCTATAAAATAATTATGGCCAAATATCTGATACTGATCACATTTAGACTCCTAGGTCTAGGAGTTAAATTTCTTCTTATTCCATATTTTATTGGTGTCCATATCATCCTTAAAAAAGAGACTCTAGATAAACACTTAGGCAACATGTATAGCTTTCAAAATGTTGGCTTTCATCTCCTACGTTTATGTTAGTTTTTATTCCAAATGGCCAAGTGCTCTGAAAAACATAACACTGTAAGCTTTCAAATACTCATGGGAGCTTGTAAAAGTAATACAACATTCATGTA